CAATAGAGAAAGGTCCACCCAGGGGGAACGCCAGAGCCCATGGTCTGCCATGCCGTACCAGCTTTCCCTTTGCTTAAAAAAGGGAATGATGAACACTTGGACTCTGTAGGCATTGCAAGAGGAATGTGAATCCCCGTGATGTAGCTATAAGGGGGCGGGGGCGGGGGGAAGTGGCCAGTATACAGATATTTCCATGTATCTTTTGTCCTTCTGGGGCTGGTTTATATGAGACAGTAGGGACTTGGTGTGTTCTCTTATATACATGATTGGAAACCCTTTGGGGGAGAGGTTTTTCCTACTTGGATGGTAGTGGAAAGCACTAACCCTTTTAGGAACTCGCGGACATTTTACTAACAATTACAATGAATTCACCTAAAAGAAAAGCAAGCACATTAAAATTAGTCTGAAAATTCACATGATAACCTGAAAAAATAATCCTAATAATTTTCTCTGTTTACAATTGCAAGAATTGTTCTATAATTTCCCTCTTATATTGCCATTCCATGTAAGATGTTTGTGAATCTCTGTCTCTCTCTCACACGCACACACACACACAACACAAACACAAACGCAGACCTAAGAATCGAAGTAAAACTCAGCAAAGAGTAAGAAGAGTTAGCAAGTGCTTTAAGACACTTGATGCACAAGCTCAGTCCATCCTCCTATTTCTTTTTCCACTTGGCTTCTTCTATGTTTCTCATCTTTATCAAATTGGAACACTAATAATTGAAGAGTTCCCGTTGCAATAGATTATCACTCATAATGAGCTGCGGGTGAAACAGACCCTTCCTTTCCGAAGGACAAGCTCGAAGTTTGCTTATCGTTAAGTATTTAAAATAAAATCAAAAGATTGGCTCCTGCCCCCCCAGCCCCCCCCCCAAAAAAAGTCTAATTAGTGTTCGTCTATTGGAGAGGAAGCGGAGCACGCTGCTCCACCACTGCCAAATGAAATTAAGGCCCAATTATTGATAAATGAAGAGTGGTTTGAGCTGGAGCCTGGCCTGGAGTCGCGGAAATACATCTGTCATTTGGCCTGTACAGGAGTCATTCATGTGTGACACAGCATCCTGTGCATTTATCATGCATCTGTAGATTTTTGTTTTAATTCAGTTAGCTGTCTAACTAGATTCAGTGCTAGATGCCCCGAATGGAGTCAGGATTTGGACTGACAGATGCAATTCTAGTCTGAAATGGTGTGTGACGGGACTAGCTATCCTGCATATTAATTATTATCGAAACCATTATAGGCAGCGCTTTCACACTAATGGTCGATTCCCTTATCTGTTTTGTAGCTTCTATGGTTAACAATTTCCCAGTTGCTCCAGGGCAGGTAGAAGACACGCTGGATCAATGGACCATTGTTGTTAAGTGCACTTACTATTACCATGAAAATTGGAATGGAAGTGCTTGAAAGGCAAGAATGAAAATGCCCCTGTCTTACCATTGTGCAAATTATATATTCTCTAAATGAGATAAGTGGGGGGAGAAACACTTTTCATAAATCTTAACTAGGTAAAAGAGTTTATTAAATTCTATTGTCAAAAACAAATTGAAAGCAAACATTTGTTAAGTTGAGAAAAAAGGGTGGGGGGCAAGGAAAGAAATGTCTGCAGGGCTATTCCCAGACTAGCTCTGCACAAAAAGCTTTAGTTTGGTAGCATGCTAAGGTTTAATTTAAAGTTTCTGTCATTTTATCCTTTGGTTGTATAAAATATTGGAAACAACTGTCACCTTCAAAAAGAAGCCACTATTGCAAGTTTTTGTCCAAATTTCTGAGAAAATATTGTTTTAGGAAGACTTTAATGGGACCAAGTCCAAGGGCAGTCATCTTGCCTCAACTGCTACGGTTTTCCTTCATTATTTACGTGTTTTAGGTGTATCCTGGTCACTTGCCCACCCCTCCTACCCTTCTGATTTAAATTATCTAATGAACATTGTGAAGCCCTGCAGAACACATTCCGGTCACAGAGGACTGATCAAAATAAATGTTGCTGAAATGTACAGTTTTCTTGTCATTTGCTTGTCAACCTCATGTGACAGGAATTGTGTGGTTACAGACTTGGGTGAGTTCTCTTTTAGGCACAGCTCAAATTACACATTTCCATTCCTTAAAGAATTTTTAAGTTGCTGAGGACTTCGATAAAGCAAGATGTAAGATGGTACCATAATGAAATGTAATATTTTGTATTAAATAGAAAATTAATGGTAGAGTTAAAGCCATAATGATGAATTTGCATCTTTTCAAAAGATTCATATTTGTTGAAGGACATTTCATATTGGTATTTCAGGTCCAAAGAAGCTTCGACTTTCCTAAACAATTAAAAATTTGCATCTTAGAATAAGTGCTTTTTCATCTCCTGATGTTTGAAAATGAGGTGCTTAAAAAGAACCTGGATTCAGTTTAAAAGTTCAGTAGCTTGATTATGATATTGGGTTACAAGATTTTCCTTGTTAAAGAACATTTTGAATGAAAGAGCAAATTAGAAAGCAAAGATATATCTTAGTATAAATAGATCTTAAAATATTAATAGTCATAATATTCAGGAAATATAAGTAAACTTTGACTTTACAGTTTGGAAGCTATTATCAGTTTTGTGTGATTAGCTACTCCAATTTACAGTGTTTGCCTCACTGCTTTATCTCTTTCAATAGGGTTTTTTTTTTTCAATAAGACTCCAAAAACTTAATTATGGCTTATGCAAATATCATTTGAGGGAAAAGAAGGTAATATTAAATCTTTAAAAGCATTGTTGGGTTAAATGCTGGGAAAGTCGTCGTAGATATTAACTGGCATTCAGAGAAAAAAATGGAATGGAGGTGGGGAGACCTCTTGGAGATGTCCTCATTCCTTTCTTGAAGCCATGTACGATGCTTAGGTCAATTTTCCCCAACTTTTTATCAAAGGTGAATGTTTTAGAAAGCTAAAGGAAAAAAAAAAGAGTTTTTGCTTCTGAATTATGTACAGATTGAAAGCCAAACTAAGCCATATGATGCGCAAACTGCTGAAGATGAATACGTGAAGCACGGCAGCTACTTCTTTATAGGCATGATGCAAAGCCTCTTTTCATTTCTGTATTGAATCACCTAAATTTTTCCTATATTGATTGGGATATCCATTAACGTCCAAAACCTACAGAAAAACACACAGGTGAATTGGGGTAACAACCATGTGTAAGTAAGCTGGTAAAATAAAAAGTTTTACCTAAGAAGACATGAAGTTGGAAATCAGCCACATTTTTTTTTTTTTTTTTTCCGCAGTACGCGTGCCTCTCACTGCTGTGGCCTCTCCCGTTGCGGAGCACAGGCTCCGGACGCGCAGGCTCAGCGGCCATGGCTCACAGGCCCAGCCGCTCCGCGGCATGTGGGATCTTCCCAGACCGGGGCATGAACCCGCGTCCCCTGCATCGGCAGGCGGACTCTCAACCACTGCGCCACCAGGGAAGCCCCAGCCGCATATTTTTAATGCACCCATAGCCTGCTGAGTACTGGGCTGAAAGAGTGAAGAACGCTTAATATCATGAAGCTGCCGAATGTTGGAAATAACGTTTGGGAAGCATGGGAGTGAGATGACACTGGATGGTCAGGATGCAGAACAGGACAGATTGCCCGGCTTTACCTGTTTCCCCAGCTTTCTGACTTTGGACCATTATGAGTCTTTAAGCATTCACAGGGCTGCTGCCTACAGAGATAAGGAAGTGTCAGGAGGAAAAACTTCTCCTCTACCCTCTTAGATTGAGTAAGTGGGGACCTGTGAATTAAACTACAAAAGACAGTTTCACAGGAGAACAGGCACATAATTTATATTAATATTTATGTGCACGAGAGTTCACAGAAAAGAAGTGAAACTAAAGAAGCAATTGGACCCAAGGGCTTATATACCTTCTTAACAAAAATAAAGTTTGGGCTTCTAGGGACAATAAGCTGTGGGGAAGTGGCTAGGAAATATCTGGGGAACCGTAATGGAAGTTAAAGTCTGTTTGACTTTAAAGTAAGGTCTGTTGATGCAAACTTGTCTTGCTGTTGACTCCCCGTCTTCAATGATGAACCTTTCTTCTCTCCTTGGTTGGGGTCGGGGGGATCTTCCTCACAAGAAAATGTGTTCCTTCTTTTTAGGCAGATAAGGTAAAGGCAGAGAATTTTTCCTGGATCTGTTGATTCTCAATTGCCTTCAGCTCAAAATAATCCTATGCCAAAGTAGCATATTTTGGACCAACATATTCTCATCCCCTTCAAAAGATATTGTGTTTTTAAAAATAATCATAAGTACCTTAAGTTAAATGGACTGTCTTTTATTCTAACATTTTCTTTCCTCCATTTTCAGCTTTTTTTTTTTTTTTCATTTTCAGCTTTTAAAATAACCTGTCTTTCATGAAAAGATGTGTGTAATTGGTGACATATAGTTTCCTCTTAAGTCTTACTTGGCAAAATAAAACCTTGATGACTCAATGTCATTCCCTCAATTTTTTTTTTTGTTACTTTTACTTTTTTACCTTTTTTTTTTTTTAACTTTACTACAGCACTTTCTCCAGAGGAAATAGTAACTATAGCCACCCTTTACTGAGTCCCTGCTATGCCTTGACAATGATCAGGGATATACACGTATATTCTCGCTAACACTAACACTAATCCTCAGAGGTAGACGGTATTGTTTTAATTTAATAAATGAGGAAAGCAAGGCTGACTGAAGTTAAGTTGCTTGCCTAAAGTGACATAACCAGAGGGTGACCTTAGCATCTACCAGTTAAACAGGACACACTTTCGAGTGAAAGAAGGTAATAGTCACAGTTATACCAGGACATCAAGTATCAATGAGGTCTTTCCAGGACAACCCAGCACATAGTCACCCTTCGAAGATACTCCGTAGGCCAGGGTTTCAATCAGTTGGCATCTGAAGCCCAGGCATGCTTTTGTCACTGCATTAGGCTGCTTCTGAAAGTTTTACAAAAATAGGGATATCAATTTTGGGGCAACTGAATTCACCAAACTGTATGACACCAGGGTAGAAAAAAATAATCATTTATTCAACACTCCATTAAGGATTATTTGTATCACAGGATATCTATTTGCAGTGGTGATTTGACAGATAGTTTGAGGATGAGAAGGCGATTCTCAGAGAAGACACCAGCCTGTAGAGAACTATGTTAGTGCCTGATCTTAAGACAGGAATCCATCTTCCACATGTAGAAGTTAAATTAATGTAGTGGTTCGTGGGACTCTGATTTCATCTAACGGTGCTCACGGGACAGAGATAGGAATAGACCCCTTGGTTGTCATTACTGCAACCCAGCAAGGCAACCCCAGAAGTGGTTCTGGGACCCACTGAGCCTCTAACCCTGGAAGGAAACTAGAAGCCTGGCAAGTATTTACCTTGAAATGAGAGCCTGATCGTATACAGTAGTTAATGCCCTGTGCTTAGCTTTCCCTCTGTCATCGAGGAACATGCAGGCAAAACCTGCCCGTCCTGAATAGATCAAGATGATTGTGGGAAAGCAGCTCAACTACGCTAAGTCCAAATGACGCCCCATCCCTCTCCCTCCCGCTCACGTTGGAATGAATGAACGCAGTTCAGCTTCGAGGTCGATTCCTGGTGCTCTCACCTGCACTGTGACCTGTAACTTTTTAATTTTTTAGAGAAAGCCTCTCCCCTTGCCAGAAAGGGCTTTCTGTCTGTGAAAGAAAATGTAAAAGAGCACCAGGTGAAGAATGACTTTTTCACCCGGCCTTGAAACCATCACAAAGAGACAAATTTTGCTGCTTTTTGCTTCGTGTGTGAATTTTTTTTTCCCACACAGCTCTATTCATTGCCTGAAACAATGGGGCCAGTGTTGGCCAGCAAAGAATGGTGCTATTCATGCACCCCCGTACCCTGCACAGTGCCTACACTTGTTAGTCTTGGCCGCCCTGCGCTGCTGGCGGCTTCAAGAAAGTCGGGTCTATGTTGTTGCACGGAGCGGGGCAGATCAGAGCACAAATGCTGGCAGCCAGATTCCCAGATAACCTCAGCTCCTCTAGAACACTCTTGTTGACATAGGCCTGTGCTTTAAGGGGTGTCTGGAATTCCAAGAACTTGCGCCAGGTGTGTGGGCAGGTGCGCGTGCTCTCAGTGTAACCATCGCCGTTGTCCTGGGGCAATCAAATGTGGCTTCATTTGGGCTTAAATAACTGCAGTAGGAATCAGACACCTGATTTGAATTCTGGCTCCAGAGCTGACCGGTGGTAGGAACTTGGACGAGTCTCAAACTCGGTGAATCTCCACGCCTTCATCTGTAGAAAGGGGATATCAGTGCCACCTACCTCACGGGGTACCGTGAAATTCAGTGATGTAATATCATGCTCTGATTAGCATGGAATGAAGGTTAGCTACTAGGATCATTAACCAAAGGCTGACACAGTGATTATTGTTACGAATGACAGCCTGGTTTAGGGCAAGCTTTCTCTGGATGGAAAGTTAACTGCTGTGAAGTGGTCAGCGGCAACACAGTAATGCAGGGTGGATAGAAGGAGGGAGAGAGAAAACAAGCTTCAGAACTCTGTTCAGAGTACCGGAGTGGTAGAATGTTTTGCACAGGGAAGAAAATGTGCTGTGGCCGAGGCCACTCCATTTCTCTCAAGGACAGAGCAGAAGACTCATTGGCTTTCACGGGGCATGATCCTGGAAGAAGGGGTCTGTTAATGTATGCTAGAGATGGTCTCGCCATCCTTGCCCTACCTCTCCAACCTAGACTGAGTGCAGCACAAAACCTGCACCCTATCCTTAATGTTCTTCTGAAGTGAGATGAAGTCTTAGAGGTCTTGTTTGGCTTTGTTGGGGGAGCCAAGGGCCAAATGCAGGCAACCTGTGGAAAACCTAGAGATGGGTAGATTCTGCTTAACTGTCTCCAGATTCACCCCGGTGCAGAGTCCAGCAGACGGGAATCAAAACGTGTTATTAAGATTGGTGTAGCAAAAGGACTTGCCGTTACAGATCAAGTAAAGTCTAAGGTGGATGGAGGGTTGGAAACAGACAGTCTTTCAAGTTCCTTCCGACCCAAGATGTTGTGAGTTTTGAAGTTTTCCTCTGAATAGCATCCTTTAACTAACTTGTGTCTTCTCTGAAGTTGCCACCATGAAAGCCAGGCACGTTTGGCACTGATTTGCTTGGCACGGCTTATAGAGCCGTACACTTATTATAGCGTCAGCACTTGAGATTCTGCTAATGTACTATATGAAGCAGAAAGAGCACTAATCACAAGGGCACTTTTCTATGTGATGTACATCATAGAGAAAAGATAATGTATCCTTGGTGATTTGGGGCATCTTAACCAGGAGTTGTGTGAACAGCAGACTTCACTTGGTATAATCCCATAATTAGAGGACATTATTGTGGTTCATAAATGGCATTAATTAAAATTTTAATTAAAGTTTCAAAAGATAATTTAATAAAAGTAGGATTGATTAGAAAATTATCAATGAATTTACAGATTCATTTAAGACATTTATCTCTGTCACTGTTAAAAGTCATTGAAATCTCTTAAAAGCTATAGTAGGTATGTCCGTGGTAACATTTAAATAGTCACCGAATTGTTTTGAAAGGCCAGTCATTTGGAAGATGTGTCTTGATGTCTTTTATTGAGCAGTGAACTTTACCAGTCAACCCTGTTGAACATCGTCCTGAAACAAATTGACAATAAAATGAGAACTGTGCAGTGTTCATTCTGAAACCAAAATGTTTGTTTGGCCAAATACATTTTTCTTGAAAACATAAATAAGGATTTCAGAACAAATGTATGACTGAGGCAAATTTACCAATGGCCTACCTGAGTGTCAGTCAGAGAGCTGACATAGAGCAATTCCAAATTCTAGCAGAGGATGGACAACAGATCTAAAATCTGTAAAAATAATAAACAAACAAACAAGTAAATAAAAGTGCTGGGCCAGAAAGCAGGAGATCTAGTACTTAGAAAGCATGGGTAACAATATTTAACTTAGGCCCATTTTAACCGCACCAGCAAAACATACGATTTCCATTTCAACAATGTAAATGGTGTCAAAGAGGACCTGGACGTAATGCATTCATTCACTTGTTCACAACTTCATTCAGTCAATCTACAAATACAAAGCTAGAGTGATGCAGTCAGCAAATCCACTGGACTCTGCACTTAAAGTTAATCCAGAATCCAATCACTTCTCGCCACTCCTGCAGTTGTTGTTCTACTCAAGCCACCATCCTTTATTTGCCTAAACAATTGCATCAGTTTCCTAATTGGGTCTCCCTGTTTCCACCCCTGTTACTCACGATTCATCAGCGGTAGTCTTCTGAAATGTAAGCCAGATCACGCAAAACCTTCCGGGGCATCAAACCTCACTCATAAGAGAACTCCAAGTCCTTCCTGTGCTGTCCTTCCTGGCTTCTCCTCGTCCCTGTTGCCCACCCCTCCCCCTCACTGACTTCTCCCCAAACACAGTGCCTGCATCACTGCAGGGGGCTTTGCTCCCCTAACTCCTGCCCAGATACCCCCTGCTTTGCTCCCTCATCTCGCTCAGGTCTCTGGTCAAGTTGCCAGAGCTCATCTCATTCCATCACTCTCCATCTCCTCACCAGGCTTTATTTTTCCCCATAGTGTTTATCATCACTTGTGTGTGTTATTCACAAAAACATTTTTTTTTTTTGCTGTACGCGGGCCTCTCACTGCTGTGGCCTCTCCCGTTGCGGAGCACAGGCTCCGGACACGCAGGCTCAGCGGCCATGCCTCACGGGCCCAGCCGCTCTGCGGCATGTGGGATCTTCCCGGACCGGGGCACGAACCCGTGTCCCCTGCATTGGCAGGCGGACTCTCAACCACTGCACCACCAGGGAAGCCCCCACAAAAACATTTTTATGTTTGTTCCTTTTCGGTCTCCCTTCCTCCTTGGAAAGACAGGAGACAAATGATTCTGGTAAAGCATGGTGAGAGTTATGACAGGAGAAGTAGACGTAGTAGTGGGAATAGAAACAAGAACTGACCGGTTTTCTTACTGTCTAGGTGGAGGCTTGAAGAATGAATACAAGTAAGCCAGACAAAGAGTTCTGGGAAGGGCCAACGATGTGTGTATTCTAGTTAGTTCCTTAGTTAATTTCATCCTAGATCATGTCTTCCTGTCCTTGTCATTTTAATTCTTGGGAATGTGACATCTGCTTCTGGCAACAGTTGGATTAGATAACGTGAAGAAATTCTTGCTAAAAAAAGACCCCATCCACCCCACTACGAAGAGATGCAAGAGGGAGGAGATATGGGGATATATGCATACATGTAGCTGATTCACTTTGTTATACAGCAGAAACCAACACAACATTGTAAAGCAACTACCCCAATAAAGATGTTAAAGAAAAAGTAAAATAAAATACAAAAAGAAATGGGAAAAAAAATACCCCAGAAAGGTGGACAAAAAATTGATAAACATGTTTCTAAATACACAGCTGAGGTTTTAGAGAAGTAAGGAGAGTGAGAGAAACTTCAGCCCAAACAAGAAGTACTAAAGACCTGAGCATGACATCACTGTTATCCTGGGGTGGGATGGGTTGCAGGGGAGCCGAAGATGCATGCCCAACCCACAGTTATGAAACACGGGAGGAAATAATCCACAATGGATGATAGCACACATGCCAAATAAAAGGATTAGAACCCAAAGAACTTCAAGTAATAGACTGTTAGAGGGAGATTCTAAAATATGTTTAAAGTGATTAAGGAAAGAAATAAATCAGCATAGCATAAAACGGTATGAATAAAGAATGGGAAGCTTTGAAAAGAAATTGAATTTCTAAAATGGAAACATATACATATTGATGTGAAAAGCACAGCAGATAGTTTAACCAAGGGATCTTAACAGTTCAGTAAAGATGTTCCCAAACTGTAGCTTGGAGAGATTAGGACAAGAAAAATATTTTTAAAAGGAGAGAAAGAGTGCTCTAAGGAGAGTGCCAGAAAGAGAGGATAAAATGGGGCAGAGGAAGCATGTGAAGAGATGAGGCTTAGAATCTTGCAGATTTGATGAAAGATATGAAACCTTTAGGAGGCCCAAGTGGGATTAGGCAATAGCTGGACACAGCTTATAAAAATGCCAAAGACCAGCGGAAAATCTTAAGAGTAACAAGAGAGAAAAGACAAATCACCTCTAACAGAACAATCACACTGACTGTAACCTTCTCATTAACAGGAGAATGAGGAAGACAGTGGCTTCAAAGCACCGAGGGGAGTCACTGCAAACCTGTCGATTTTGTACCCAGCTACGCTATCACTCATGAATAAGAGTGAAACAGATTATCAAGTAAAAACTGAGTGCTTGACACTATCAGACCCATGCTGGATGCACAGAATAAAGATGTGACTCAGGAAATAGGGATCTAAACTCCAAAGGAAGGAGATGCAAGATGGTGAGCAAAGAAACTGGTAAATAAGTGAGTTTATATAAGCAAGAAATGATTATGTAAAACAGCAATGGTAATAAAGATGAATAATTTGGTAGGATCTGAAAATAAGGTAGAACTGAATATCGGACAAAGTAGCATGTACAGTGGGAAGGGGAAGGGGATGATCAGAGCTAAAGTACAATATTCTAAGGCTCATGCCATAGGAGAGCAGAATAGAAACATCGATTAACCTTAGACCCTATTAGGTCAGGACTCATGTTAAAAATTTAAGAATAATAACTAAAATAATAGAAACATCTATCTTCCAAACCAGTAGAGGAAAATATGAGAATAAAGGAAACTCCATCACTCCAAAAGAAGTTAGAAAAGGAGTAAAAAAGGATCCTAGAAAAAGTATGGCAAGAAAGCAGAAAATAAAATGCAAAAAGTTGAAATGCATGTGCAATTACAGGAAATCTAAAGTCATGAAAATAATCCCAGCAGTGACAGCAAAAATATACTTCATCTGGGGCTTCCCTGGTGGCGCAGTGGTTGAGAGTCCGCCTGCCGATGCAGGGGACACGGGTTCGTGCTCCGGTCCGGGAGGATCCCACATGCCGCGGAGCGGCTGGGCCCGTGAGCCATGGCCGCTGAGACTGCGCGTCCCGAGCCTGTGCTCCGCAATGGGAGAGGCCACAACAGTGAGAGGCACGCGTACTGCAAAAAAAAAAAAAAAAAAAATATATATATATATATATACTTCATCTGGAAATTAGGTGGATGGCTAGATTTGACAGTCATCTAATGTGTAGATTAGAAGGTCCCTGATAGCTGTAACATCTCTCTCTATATATAATATACATAGAGATATTATATAGATATAACATATACATATATAGGTATAGCTAGTATATTTCATGACTATATATTATATATTCATATCTATACCTGTATCTATCTAATCTATTTCAATTAAGCAATCACTAGATTCCACCATTTTCCAATGTGGAAAATCAGTGTGGCCTAAGGATCTGGGTCTCCAGAAAGGCACGTTAGCCCAGTATTAATCTGATTCAGCAATGGGAAGAGTGTGCTCAGTGCAGAAATCCAGGGTTCGAGACAATGACCAGGAGCACAGCATTTTAGGGCTGCACGTTTCAGGAACCCTAAGGGTAGAGAGATGAGGCAGGATCAAAGCGGTAAAGTTAATAAATAAACCATCAGGCAAATAAATAAATAAGTGCCTATAGAAGAGGCAGGAGTTTCAACTTCAGAAGAGCCCTGGGTAAGAAAAAGCCTAAATAGTGCCCTGTATCTCTCCAATCTGAAGATGTCTTGGAAACACTTTGACATCTGTTCCCCCAGGTTTGTTTTTCTTCTCCATCACACCTCACACGGAACACAGAGAGTGATGTCCTGTCACTTTGATGCCTCTCTCTACTCAAATGGCAGAAACGACCCAGGTGAGTTGTCATAACTTAGATGAGGCTGGGATAAAAATACACCTTGGAGAGCTTGCTTCCTGATGACAGACTGAGAATAGCTCTTTTTGATTTGAGTGATTTGGAGCTTAAATTCAGTGCCAACCCGTATGAGTGTCTTAGGATACTGGGTTAGAAAAGGGATTATACCGGAGTATGAGGTCTTTTGTCTGCCTTCTCTTAGGACCACCTTTGACTCATGGATGGAAGATCCTATGCAGTATCTTAATTTGAAATTGTAAGTGAAAGCAAACAGTTGGATTTTTAAATTCAGTATTCACTTCTGGGTTTACCTTTAAAAGCAGCTCGACTGTTGCGGAGTTATGCATCTTAACTAATGACACCGTCTGAGAATGCAGCTATTGCATGCATTCAATTTAAATCATTTAGTTTTAAGAGAAGAAAAAACCCTTCCTCGCAATTTAACAATTTAAAGATCCTTCATCCTAAACCCCAAATCTTGGTCTTCATTTGGAGCAAATGGTATGAATTAGTTTAGTTTGTAAGGCGTGTCTCGCAAGTTGCTCAAAGAGGAGTGGCAGCCAGCGATGGAGGCATGCCATGGTGCCAACCAACACAACCTCGACGCTGCCCCTCACCGGGGCTGCAGAGGGAACACACGGAAGTGAGCATCTGCTGTGCCCTGGGTCCCTGTGATTGTCAGCAAATGGAGGGGATGCCTTTTCTTCACCTTTTATGGTATCTTTTGGTGGTAATGACCTTGAGCTCCTCACAATTCGTGGCTGTTCATGGCTGGCATCTGTTCTGACTGGGTGATACCCTTGCTTGATATTATAAATGCTTTGAAAGTCGTCCCCTGGTTTTCAGGGTATCAACACAGTACTATCGTTTGCTTGTTTTTGATTTTTAGCAAAGCAGCTATTGCAGTTTTATTTATGGCCTCCCCTCACCCATAACCAAGGAGTGAGTTCATGAGATTGATTTTAAAATAGATTTGAGTGACTTAAAATCATTTCTTCCTGCAATATGAAACTCTTTACTTTATTATTATTATTTTTTTTACTGGAATCTAATGCATTGTTCTGACCTCATTCTTACCTTAGAATACATGATTTTCCTAGAGACCTTCAGTCTCCCCTGAGGATAATCTTACTCAACATTTCACTCTATATGTACAAGCATGTCTGAATCCCAGTTTAGGTTCAAGTGAATACTTCAATACACTAATGAAAAATATTTATGTGTGCCCGCTGTATTCTGGGCACTTGTCCTTCCATGTAATCCTCACACAACCTGTTTTATAGGAGAACATCACACAATGCTCAGATTCAAATTCAGGTCCAAGGGACCCAGAAGCCCAAACACTGTCTACTTTGTAGACACTCTCTCCTTCTTCCTGGATAAGGCTCTCAAAGGATCGGGAAACAGGAGGATATTAAGATCATATCTTTCATGCTTGCTGAAAATATGCTGTATGTTGGATATTAACACTTCAACTCCTGGAACTCTTCTAGAAGCTTGGGAGCCTGCGTGATGCTCGGAAGCATTGGAATACCAAAAAGGGACGAGATGGGTTTCAGAGTTGAGACACTAAGGGTGGCTTCTTTGGGCTTGCTTCAGGATGTAAGTTTTAAGGGAGAGAAGCAGTTGAATCCATCTTGCCCAACACTCATGTTTTTCTGTATTCCTTCTGCTTTAATCTTGTCCATCTTTAATCTGTTCTTACATAGCTCCTAGGGTTACTCTTTTTAAGAACAAACGTAATCGCGTTATTTTTCTGCTTAATTTTTTTTAAATAAAACAAACCATTTCAAAGTGAACAGTTCAGTGACATTCAGCACACTCACATTGTTGTGTGACCATCACCTCCTTCCAGCTCCAAAGCATTTTCATTATCCTAAAAGGAAACCCCTCACACATTAAACAGCCACTCCACTCAGCTAAAGATCACTAATCTGCTCTCTCTCACTGTAGATTTACCTATTCTGGATATTTTATACAAATGGAGTCATGCAATGTGGGACTCTTTGTGTCTGGCTTCTTTCACTTAGCATCATGTTTCCACGGTTTGTCCATATCATAGTATATATCAGCACTCCATTCCTTATATGACTGAATAATATTCCATTGTGTGAATATATCACAATTTGTTTAGCCATTCATCTCTTTTCTAATAACTAAACCTCTTTATATTTTCTAAATATTTGGCCTTAACTTTTATTGTTGTGATGCCGGTGGTGATAGTTCCTGGTTGTTTGGTTTTAGCCATTCATTTCTTGATGGACATCTGGGTTGCTTCTTCCTTTTGGCTGTTATGTGCCTTCTGTGTTTACACACTCTGCTCTTTCCCATTCTAATCTGGAGTTACCTCAATGACACAAATCCTGGAGGATTCGGGGAGGTGATGAACGCTATCTGTGAACAGACCGCAAGCTCTTACAGAAATTTTAGTGCTTATCAATGAGTTCCCAGGCGGATATCTTTCTATAAAAGCCAAGCTACAGACTGAAGGTTCAGGAATAGCTTCTGTGTGCCCTTTGTTCTTATCTAGTTCTCTGCTACCTCACAACAGCCCTAAGAGGTGAAGTGGGTGTTACCACTCCGTAGAACTTTCCTCCAGGCAGTGAGGCCAGACATGAGGAGGATGGTCAGTTAAACCTGGTCTTACTGGGGACATGCTGCACTCTCATATGTATGACACACACACACACACACACACACACACACACACACACACACACACACACATATATATAATGTAAACTTATTATTCTGGAAATTTTCAAATATGCATAAAAATAGAAAGGCTGCTTTAATGGTTCAACAATTAACATCTGCTGTTCTTATTTTATCTTTTCCCTTCCCATTCCTTTTTTTTTTTAACATTTTTATTGGCGTATAATTGCTTTACAATGGTGTGTTAGTTTCTGCTTTATAACAAAGTGAATCAGCTATACGTATACATATATCCCCATATCTCTTCCCTCTTCCGTCTCCCTCCCACCCTCCCTATCCCACCCCTCTAGGTGGTCACAAAGCACTGAGCTGATCTCCCTGTGCTATGCGGCTGCATCCCACTAGCTATCTGTTTTACATTTGGTAGTGTATATATGTCCATGCCACTCTCTCACTTCGTTCCAGCTTACACTTCCCCTCCTGTATCCTCAAATCCATTCTCTAGTAGGTCTGCGTCTTTATTCCCGTCTTGCCCCTAGGTTCTTCATGACCATTTTTTTTTTTTTTTAGATTCCATATACATGTGCTAGCATATGATATTTGTTTTTGTCTTTCTGACTTACTTCACTCTGTATCCCATTCCTTTTTTAAATTGTTTATTTGTTTTTAATTTGTTGTTTATTTATTTGTTGCTGCAGTATTTTAAAGCTAATTCTAGACATATCACTTCACTTATTTCAGTAGGCGTATCTAACTTTTCTCTTTTAACACAACCACAATATTATCAGATTCCCCCCAAAAAAACCCCCCACAATTCCTCCATATCATCAATTTGTGTTCAGTTTTTCCTGATTGTCTCAAATATGCCTTTTTTTATAGTTGTTTTGCTCAATTCAGAATTCAAACAAGATTTGGTGGAGATTACATATGGTTAATATGCTCTTACATCTCTTTTGATGTGTAATTATTTCCCTCCTTTGTTTGGCGTGCTTATTATAGAAATTGAGAATTGAGTCTTTTGTCTTGAAGAATTGCTGGATTTGACTGATTATATCCTTTTGGTGTCATATAATATGTTCCCCCATCCCCTATAAATCAATAGTTAGAGATAGATTCTTGATTAAATTGAGTCATTTGGAGGTGGGGGAGGAGTAGGGTAAGAATAATGTATTTATCCCATTTTGCTTAATATTAAGATTGATTGATGGTTCAGTGTTGTGATAGGCTGAAAAAGAGTCCCCTAAAAGATACCTCTGTCTCAATCCCTGGAACCTATGAATGTTATCGTATGTGGCACCAAAAAAAGGGGGGGCAGTTCTCTGTAGATGTGACTCAGTTAAGGATCTTTAGATAAGGATCCTGGATTTTCTTGCTGAGATACAAATGCAGTCACATGTGCCTTTGTAAGAGGGAAGCAGAGATGAGCTTTCATACACAGAAGAGGAGGAAGCAGTGTGACTAAGGAGGCAGAGGTTAGAGTGATGCGGCCACAAACCAAGGGATACTGGGAACCACCAGAAAACAGAAGAAGCAAGGAACAGATTCTCCCTCTAAAGCCTCCAGAGGGAGTGCAGCCCTGTCACACCTTGTTTCCAGCCAACGAAACTGACTTTGGACTTCTGGCCTCCATAGCGATGAGAGAATAAGTTACTGTGGTTTTAAGGCCCTGAGTCTGTGATAATTTATCACAGCAGCCACAGGAAACTAATACACATGTCATCTGCCTAATCCATCCATTGTAAAGCTCCCCCTCAACTTTCCAATAATAATTTTAGCGGCCATTGATGACTGTTGCCTAGATCCCTATTTCATTATGGAGTGGAAAATGGTGATTTTCTAATTCTGTCATTGTTTTCTCCATTTAGTCCACATGATTTTTTTATACAGAGAAGAACTGTTTTCCTCATCTATTTGTCTAGCCCAAGTTCTCTTTCAAGTAGGGAAAGACAGAAGAGATGCTCAAGATTTTTGCTTAATTTATACATTTTCAGAAAAATGAGTTGGTACCCTAGCAACCTCCATGGTCATCAACGATTTTTTTGTTGTTTATTTATTTATTTTTGCGGTATGTGGGCCTCTCACTGTTGTGGCCTCTCCCGTTGCGGAGCACTGGCTCCAGACATGCAGGCTCAGCAGCCATGGCTCACGGGCCCAGCCGCTCCGCGGCATGTGGGATCTTCCCGGACCGGGGCACGAACCCGTGTGCCCTGCATCGGCAGGCGGACTCTCAACCACTGCGCCACCAGGGAAGCCCTGTTGTTTGTTTTTGAAGTATCATTATGAACTCATAAGTTTTCATATATCTGATAAGTTTCAACTCATTGTAGTCATTATGATTTATGATCCTCAAATTGTCCCATCTTTAAGTCCTTGGAGCTCCTACAAGCTTGATCTGCTTTTTAAAAGCCAAATAACCAGAAACTGAGTAAGGATAGGGTACTCCGGTAGTGAAACACTGACCTCCATCCTGGTCTCCTTTGTATGAGTCACACAGACACTCAAAAAAATTGTTGTCAAAGCACTGGCAAAAATAAAGAACTATGAAGATGCTGACTAAATCTAATAACATCTTCCCATTCCTTGATACAGTAACTCTCAACATTTACTCACAGCAGAATCACCTGGGCAGCTTTTAAAAAACACTCCGCCTGGTCTTCACACAACCCCCCCCCCCACGCCCCCGCCGTGAGGATTCCCTTCCCTGGGGTGGGGCATTGGTATGCCTTAAAAACTCCCCAGGTGATTCTAATGTATAATCAGGAATTAGAACCACTGTCTAATGGATCCACCATACTTCTGAGATGGGGTTGTTAAAAAACAAGCCCTGGTCTTCTGCCTTCTGCAAGCATCTCTGACATTGACTACATGTGGAGCTAGGTTGAAAGGCTGCCCATCAACAATATGTTTTCATGCCTCCTAATCCAAGGAAGATTCTGTCACCACATTACTAGACCTGAATTAAGAAGCAAAATCCCATCCTGTCCTAACCCCAAGGCCCCTGTTTGGTATTTTCAAGTCCACACTCAGTCTTTCCTTCTTGGTTTCACCTTCCCTCTCCAAGGACTTTACCACCTTATGATATTTGTGTCCAGTGAAATCTCCTTCAATACATTGTATGCAGGGGTTGTGTCTTATTCACCTTTGTAGTCTTACTTTCCCACCCACGGAGCAGAGATTTACGTTTAGTAAAGTTTGATTTGATGCAAGATAATTACCAGGATAATTCTATTTTTTCTTCTGCACATCCCCCCACCTCCTGAAAAAGAAAAATCTTGTTGGATTCTATTGGATAAACAAAGAATTCTTGAAATTTCCGTGCTCTTTGTCTACATAAGGTATAGATAATTACTCATTGTGCTTCCATTTGTGCAGTAAAGGACTCTGGGTAAAAGATTCCAAATTTTACAAAGACACATGAAACTTAATATGCATCTCAACATTGAAAAGTTTCTCTTTTTGAATATATCTAGTGATAGTAAAGGTAAACAGGTGTTTGAAAACATACTGTCATGAAGTACCAACCTGGCAGAAAACCTGTAGCGTTTATAATGAGAACACAATTCAGTTGCATTTGTAATTAGCACTTTTGAAATGTGCTCATTATTATTGTTATTATTAGCCACAGAACTCTGCAACTTTGGCTCACACCCATTGGAATTTTAGGGTGTGGACCTAGCCCAAAGCAGTCAGTATAGACAGAACCCAATAAAAGAAATATGTTGCAGATTTTATGGAAGTAATTTTAAGTTAAATATCCAACCATCAATTACGTAGAAATTATTCACTGTCTGTGTCAAAGACAATGTTCACATTTGAAGATGCAGATCGTTATGAAAAATATCCTAAGGATTTGAGAGAAATGAACACACTCATTAAAAGTGAATAAATAATAAATAGAAAAATGAACACATTCATAAATGGAATGCATTTGGGAAGTAATCCCGAAAAAAGGAATAGTCATGGTTGAAGAGACCAGTTCCCAATGGAGCAGAAAGATTTCCAGAATTCAAAGTCCTGTCTTCCTTGAGCTTCCAGAGAAAGCTACTCCAAACACTTTCTAGAGCATAAAAGTATTCTCTGACTGACTCATTCCTGATGATTCAAGTAAGAAAAGTGACTGGACACCTAACAAGCTTGCAGTTCACTCCATTAACAAACATTTATTGAGCAACAACAATGTACTGTACCAGGTACTATTGGGGAGATGTGGAAGGTCTGGTAAATTGGATACATATAAATAGGAGGGGATCTTGGGGCCAATCATCAGTAAGTCAAAGCAGTAATCATGGGCCCAGTACTAATTACTGAGGGAGATGCTGAAAAAACGCAATCAGATAAGGACCAGGCTAATCAGGAAGAAAAGATTTCTGGAGAAGATTCATTTTGGTTCAGATTCTAAATGATGCCTCGGCCTGATTGGTGGGAAGGTTAGGAGATGCCCTTTCAACAAGAGAACTGACATGCGTTAGGGTGTGGACTTAGTGTCATGTGAGCACTGTGGAGGGATGGCCACCATATTGATTTGCAAAGAACGATAGAACTTAGCCTGGTACATAGCCTGGTGCTATGCTTGGTGCATGTGTTTATAGGTGCTCAATAAGAATAAATACTCAAAAAAGCATTTAAAGGTGCTCAACAAATATTTGAGAAATCAATGACTTTGACTTTCTTGTTTTCCCTGGAAGGTATATAAATAACACACTAGGGGACTCTGACTCAACACTTAACAATGATTTAGTGCAACTCTGTAAGCATTTGATTTGATTGTATGATCCTTGGTTTGGGAAGCATGGGCAGAATGTGTATTAGGTTTACCTGTATGATCACAGTCCTAGATGTTGAGACCACAATGATATTTTCAAAGAAAACAAAATAAACACGTATGAAGTCTGCCTTGCCTTTCAGGTAATCTCTTGCCTCAATCTCAGGCAGGGATGGGCCCCTGGTTGCCATATTTCTGCAGAGTTTTCCTGCCCCTCACCCCAACCCACAATATTTTTTTTTCAGTAAAGAGTTATTGAACTCCTTCTATTTGCCAAATGCATTCCTAGAAAAAGAACAAGACCATGGACATCTCAAGGATCTCAGTTGTAAGAGATGAGGCAGTGAAGCAAAGAGATAGTTCCAGAACAGTGGGATTTTTTTCTGTGAAAGGCTGGCTAGAGCAGCCCGCTCCCCAGAGATTCTGATTTCACAGGTCTGGTGAGGGGAAGGCTGCTGATAGCTAAGCCCCGCCCCAGGCGTTGCTAATGTGCAGTCCGGGCGGAGAATCACTGCGGTTCTCAAATAGTGGTCTTTGGATCAGCGGCATCAGTGTAACCTGGTAACTCAGAAATGCAATTTCTCAGACCTCCTGAATCAAAATCGCTGGTGGAGTGGGGGAAAGGGCAGTGGTATGTTTCAAGAAGCCTTACAGGTGACTCTGATGTACGCTCAGATTGAGAACTAGTGAGCTAGGGAAATACAGATTGGTTCTGTGTCCAGATGTTGAGGAGGTCTCCCAGGCCCCCTCTCTGACTTACTTTCCTCCACCAAACCTCTATCTTATTCTTTGCAACTCCATTAGTCTCTTCTCAACTTACTCTATTAACCAATTTCATGTTTTTCTTCTTATTTTTTTCCATACCCTCTATGTTCAGGGCACTGATGAGGCCAACTTAATTCAATCCCAGTTCAACAAGTATTCATGTGTGACCTCAATTTCATCATAGGAATTATACAGGATATTTTTTTAAAGTATATGGAATAGTTCCTGGAGCCTTTGAGGAGTCAGGAGTCATTATAACAGACAATATGCTGCTCGTATAGGTACTGGGTGCCTCAGGAGATCAAGGGAGTATTGGGATTTATATGGGAAGAGCAATCTTGGAAGGCTTCATGGAACAAGGCAAACTTGATCTGAGCCTTGACATATGAATAGAGTTTGGACCATTGGGAAGACAGAATGGATATTACGAGCAAAGAAGCTCTTTATGAGTACCAATGAGGACATGATCCTAACCAGAGAGGCAGACGCAGAGCTGAGGGGCACATCAACCTTCTCCATTAAGCATTCCGCAATGTCTGGTATCTCACTGACATCCCAAAATACAAGTCAAAAAGGCAGGTTTTCATTTTCCTTATTGCAAATCTAAACTCAGGCAAATTGGTCCTGGATGGTTAGCTGAGCTGGCTTCTTTAGCTTGTAAGAGGAAGCCTGTTACAGCAGAAATAGGAGAGGTTGGAAATCAAGCTGAGCTGGCTTAGAACCATCTCCTAGACGTGAGACTTAACCTCTCTGAGCTTTAGTTTCCTTTTCTACACAGTAGAGAAAATGCATTTTACCTAGCCTGTTTCAAACGATTAAATAATCTCACAAATGTAAGATAGCAAACACTGCACTAGGATAGTCCCAGGTGGATGCGTGTATGTTATGTCCCTCTTGCCCTCCTGTGACCTAAATGGAATCGATCATTGGATTGGATAGGAAGGGAAGCAGTAGTGGTTAAGAGAGAAAGCTGTGAATTGACAGGGTGGATCCCAGCCCTACCACTAAAACATTGTGTCACCTTGACCACGTAACGGAACTTCACAAAACATCAAATCCCTCTGTGTCATAACCTGGAATAATGATATTACATACTTCATGGGATGATTGGGAAGATTTGACAAATACAATGGCTAGCACCGTGCCTGGAACATAGGAAGCCCTCAATGACGGTTAGCAATTATCGAGGAGGGAAAAGCTATCTGCTCGTGAAATAGGGCACCAGTTCAGTCTGATGGTCCCCAAGGGGTTGCGTGCCTCTCTAGGAAGAAATGATGCACATCAGAGAGCAGGTCACCTTTCTCCCCTCTGCATTCTTAGCCAGTTCCAAAGCCCCCCACCTTCATACCACCTATTAGTAGCTTTGCAGTCTTTTTTTTTCAGAAGAGCAATCAATGATTGAATCAATTTGAGATACGTTGCTCAAGGTACACAGTGGCTGCCCTGGGAATATCTTTTTCAGTAAAATTAGTATTTGCAAAGGGTCCAGACCTGCCTGCAATAATATTCAGATACATGAAAAATGAGAGGTCAAAAGACAAATGTTCTCACCTGCAGCGTGCTCGCTCTCTCCATCCGCACCCAAACCCCTCCTACAGCTCCAATCTCCGTTACCAACAGATCCGAATGGAAAACTCCAATCCAGGATAACATTTTACAGCTGGTTTACAAATCCCTTAAAAGTGCCAGATTTAGCTCTGCCATTGTTCCTTGTACACCATAAAAATAAGTGCACTGAGAAGCCTTTGAGGTCTTCGCTCTGTTGAAGAACTTCGTTTCCGTATTTTTTTTTTTTTTTTTTTTGATTCTCATTTTACCTCTTATTACTTCTCATGAAGCTGCTGTTCTGGGGACAACTGCACGCCTGCCCACTGGAAACCCCTGCTATTGATCACGTACTTACGTGGTTGGGAGCATTTTATGTAAGAGGAATAAATGATATAGTTGTTTCTATCCATTAAACTATACTGTTATCAAGGGATTGAACAACTGCCCTGAACATGGCCATTCTTTTCGGAGACTCTGTAATGTTTAAATATAATTGCCTAGTAATCCTGTATTTACTATGAGGTGGCAAGGTATAGCTAGCGTCATGTTTGCACCTTATAAAACGTAAGGCTATGGAGCAAGTTTAATTCTCTGTTGTCTTCCTCCTCCTCCTGGCCTTTCCCTTTTCCTGATGACGCTGCACCCCCAGGCATTTGGATATGTGGCTTCTAGAGACTTCCCAAGTGCTGTCATTTTTTTTTTTCCATGTGAACGCATCCTTGGAGATCAGTCACTTAGTATGACGTGGGGCTTCCCAGGCTTCGGCCATGTGCGAAGGAGAGCTGGGGTCTCTGAGGCACACAGGACTTTGCATGATTACTAGAGCTCTGAGAGCCCGGGAGACGTGCCTTGTGAGCAAACACCCCAGCCTGGAGGATGCTTAATTATAGTCAAGGGAGGCTATTCCTTCCTCGGTAGCAGCTGCCACTGCCCACGTGCGTACACACACTTGTACACCCACGTGCACACACACAAGCACACACACACACACCGCCTTTACTTGAATTCTTTCTGGAAGTTCCTCCCACCCCCGCCGCCTAGAGGACCCCTAACCATGGTAACTGTGAAGCCTAGCCTTTCCATCTCCAGCTCCCAAACAAGCCTATTTCGGCCTCGCTTCCACTTTTTAAGTCATTGGTGGAGAAAGCCCTGAAACTTTTAAAGACCAAATACAACCAAATGATCCTAATAAAATAACGGGGAGCTTGCTAAACATGAGGCCAGGAACTGTTTCAGTCTTCTACTGAAGTATAAGAGAGGCTGAGAGTCTTAAATGTTTTTCTGTTTCTCTTTGAAGGTGCCAGGAATTTGCACACGAGATTTTAAATGTGCTTCTATTACTGACTCACAGGAGGAGATTTCTAGACTGTTCCTGCTCGTTCCGATGGTGGCAACTTAAAATCCAAATGCTTGATTCTTTCCTTCTATAGAACTTGACTTTTCCAGTCTGTGAAGGAGGAAAGAAAGAGAATAATTTCTTGTTCTGTTCCTATAGACAAGGTTTACAAGAGGACCCCAGAGGATTTAGTTTGGTGACAGGAGAAAGGCTTGGACCCCATCGCCTTTTAGAGCTTCCTAAGGGTGCTGTCTTGTGCCTGCTTTTCCTTATCCGAGGTGCAGTGCGTTCTCGCTTTCCATCCCCTCGGAGACTGTCTGCTTCTGCCCGTCCACACAGTCACTATCCAAGTCTCTGTTCTCTTTCTTGCTGCTCTCCCTCCAAGTTATTAGAAAGCAACCTTGGGATTTGTCTCCTCTGTTTTTCACGAGCTGGCTTGGAGGAAGAGTACAGGGTCATGGATCAGAACACAGACCCTGGAATCAGCTGCTTAGGTTTGAAACCGGGTTCTTCTCTTTACAGTGTTTTACTGCAGGCAAATCACTTATCTTCTCTTAGTTTTCCCACGTGAAAATTGAGCATGCTGATAGGAGCTACCTCTGAGGGCTGGTGTGTGAATTCGCTGAATTAACACGGGTGAAAGACTCAGGGCAGCGCTTGCTCCTACTGTTTCCTGAAATCCTTTTTTAGACCAACTTGGGCTCCATTGTTACTGTATTTTGGTGACTCTGCCTCTATTCCCAAGCCTTGACTTCATTACACCAGAACAGTCAACTGGTTGATTGAACCATAGTGATGACAAGCATAAACGCAGTGGAAACTTCCCCTTAGGATGAGGGGAAGTGGAGTCAAGCTAAGCAGTTACTTGCTTGAATTTTTTCTCATGATTCATTCTCTCATATGAATGCGGGTTGGTTTTTCTAAGTTGCCTTTCCTCACTCCTCTGTTTTCATTTTCTCTCTTTCATACAGTCTCACCCCATGAGGAGTTTTACTACAATCTCCCATTAGAGTAGGACAGACCCCAGAACACATGCTTTCTCTCACCCCCATTTTGGCTTTCCAGGGAGTCTCTGCACATTTTCCAGAATCATTCTCCCACCCCGGCAGAGACCCCTATGGGACCAAGAAGAAAGGATCCGAGGAGAGGAGAGAGGACAGAAAATTCTGCTTCCAGATCCCTCCCCAGCGTTCCTCCTCCCCCTCCCCCACTCCCAGTTCTGTTTTATTGTTTCCAGTGAGGACTGTGGACCTGCTAAGACCCCCGCGGGTGGGATGCTGCATTTAAAACCTTTAAGCCCTTCAAGATGAAGGCTCTTTTTCTGGTCAGCTTCATTTTCCCCATTCTCTTTATGGAAAAAAAAAAAAAAAAGGCAAGCCATATTCTGGTGGAGTGAAGGCAAAAGAGAGAGAGGCTAGGTGTGGGTTGTGAGGGGCAACGCCATTGTTTCCTCAGAGGGTTTCGTATCAGGACTGGTAAATTCACAAATTCAGCTCTGCGTTATGACACAGATCAGCTGTTATTTTTCCAGTCTCAGAGGAAACCTGGAGGAATCTCATTCCTTCAATTGTATTAAATTATCTGCCAGTGTTGTCCTTTTCTTTCATTGAAGCATTTGGCCTGGGCTGCAGGAACAGCAAAAATCTCTTTAAAAGCGTTGTTTCTTTGAATGTTTGGTTTACCTTTTGGTTCCACAACAAAATAACTTAATAAATGAAGGGCGAGCAGAATTGTTACTATAGCAATCCCCATAGTAACGTCAAGATGCCAGGCACACTCATCCTTCCAGCCCTCTGGAGGCATTCTCCTAGCTCGACCCACGTTTCAGGTATAGCTTCCCAGGCTTCAGCTCTGACGGCTTGAGATTTTAGGATATTCAATTAAGTGCATTTTATTTCCATCCTAAAGAGTGAATAGACTCACAAAATGCCAAGCATTCTTATCCACTTATATCCCCTGCAGAAAAGTCAGAAGTGAATTTTCTCTGAGCTTGACAGTATGTAGGGACTGCTTGCATTTCAGTTGCTTTTCCAATTTTAGGTCTGTCCTTAAAAACAACAACAATAATCCCAGTCAAGGCATGAATTGTTCTTTGTTGATTTCAATAGTCTTACATAACTTACACGGGGGGCAGGACTAGGAGATGAAACATCTTCAGAATGCAGCATTGTGGGAACACACATGTTTTTAATCTCCTATTTTCCAGAAGATAGCCAGAAGTGATCCCCAAGAGGTCACTTGGAGAAGCCTTTTGCCACCTGGTAGGGTTATAAATTGATTCTCTGGTTAAGGTTGCTGTTATTAGGTTGAATGAATGACTGAGAGGTTATAGGAAAATTAAATGGGAGACAGAAATGGATTTTGAACATCATGTCATAACTTTATATAATAGGTATTCATGCATACATGTAAATATGTATGTCGCAGTTTGTTCATATTTAGCATACATTTATAAACCAGTTGATGAATATCAAATAGTGGATCTGTGTATCCTGTTTCTTAGCTCGTTGTATCTTGAATATTAATAGTGACACCCTAAAGGCAGAAACTACAACTGGAAAGCAGTTGTGTTAAATTCAGAACCAGTGGGGCTGTAATGTGATGCAGCTTAGAGAAGTCAGGTCAAACTACTTTGACAGATAAACACAAGAAGCAGGAGAATAAAAAGCAAGCCACAAACAGTCAATTCATAAAAAGAGAAATAAGATTATTAAGAAACACATGAACAGTGTCCAATCTCCCTGCTAAGCAAAGAAGTACAAATAAAAATTAGCATACCAGGATGTGGAGCTGGGCTTCGACTTTTGCCCTGGAATCAGCCAGCACCAGGCCCCCAGCAAAAAACCACAGGTGTTAACAAGTGAAAGAGCAATGAGACCCCAGCCTCACGTCACACTTATATAAGCAGAGGACAGGAAGGGGGCAGGAGGGAACAGGAAGCAAAGTTGGAAGTGGTCAGGGGCAGTGTTACTCATCAGAGGTTACTTCCTCTCTCCCATGGGCAAGGGAGGGGGTTGGCCTGCCTCCCATGATTCTACTCAACCTGGATAGAGAATCACCCGTTGAGACTGTAGGTGCTAACAGATAGGCAGACTTGGATTTACTTCCCTGCCTGGAACTCTGCTTGGGGAGCAGACAGGCTTTCTGATCTGCTCCTGTGCCTACCAGACAGTCACAATGAGGTGAGAGAAGCAGCCTGTACCCGCCCCCCCGCCAGCTGGTATCCCCAAGGATGCACAAGTTTCTAGTGGGTGACATGGGCACCAGAGACTCTAGCTAGTATTGATTTGCTCAAGAAGCTTGCCTAATGCGTGAGGCCATCCAGTGGTGGGAACTGAGAAGAGATAGAGAGATACAGCCGGATCTCCCATGGAAAGAAGTGTGCAGAGGGGATCCTACAAGGTCTTCCAGAGAATCTAACAAATTCAGAGAGACTTTGCATCCACTTCTTGGAAGAGCCAGCCACCCCTGGATGTCTACCACATAGAGATATCGATGTGTAGTTAGTCTAAGTCAGAAAAATAGTCACGTGCCCAAGAAAGAATATTGCCATTGCATCCCTATGAATAAGAAGATGCCGGTCCTTTTTCCTCACACGCCTCTCCTCTAAAAAAATGGCTTCAGAGATGAACCTATGCTGAATTGAGATTGCCCAACAAACCAGTCACATAACGATGTGATATTGTTTGTCTGGTGAGCTACCATAACTTTAAAATACCTAGGTTGCTGAGGGCACAGTGAAGGAAGACAAATTTGCTGATGTGAGTGTACATTGGTTTATCTTTTCTGAAGGGCATTTTTTCAATTATGCATTTAAAAAGCCTTAAAACCAGGCAGGCTATTTGACCTACTGATTCTACTCCTAGGAGTTTACACTAAAGACATAATCAGAAATGTGCACAAATAAATACAAACAAAAAAATGTTTATTGTGACATTATTTACAAAAATAAAAAGGAGAAAACTTGAATTTCAAGTTGAAAATGGCTAACTAAATGTTGGCATATCCATAAAATAAAATACCTGCAACCATTAAAATTGTGCCTTTAGGACCATTTAGTGATACTGCACAGACCTCATAATATAAAGTTTAGTAGAAAACAAATAGCACAACATCTGCCATTACATAAGACATAGGAGGGAAGAGCAAAAATATCTCTACTGGCAGAAAACATGAGTATATAACTGAAAAGTCCAAGACACTCAATGGAAAAGCACCACAAGTAATAAGAGAATTCAGTGAAGTAGCAGATAGGGAAGAAATCAGTGTAAACAGCCTTCATACATACAAACTAAAAGTAGTTAGAAGATATGTGATAGATATGTTTAAGATAGTAATAATGATAAACTTAGGTACATTAAAAAACCAAAAGTTGTGCAAAAACTGTACAAAGAAAACTAAAAACACCCCTCAAGGATGCAAAAGGAGATTTGAAGAAGTGGAAAGACGTATCAGTTTCTTGGATAGACAGAAATCAGTTCTCTCTTAGTTAATTTATAAATTTTATTGAAAATTAATTTAACTTAAACAATTAATATAATTTTTAAAATACCATTTGGGAGGAAAGATAAGCTGGAGTCGTCAGGAAATCCTCGTAAAAGAAGAGCAATGAAAATAAGGACTGGCGTGACCATATACGAAAATACATTCTAACGCCTCTATAATTAAAGAACTCTATAGGCACATGAGTAGATAGATCAATGACTAGAAAAATCCAGAAATAGACCTAATTGCATATGGAAATTTAATATACAATAAAGATGGCATTTCAAATTGGTGGCAAAAGATGGACTTATAAATAAGTGGTGTTGGGATAAGTGGATAGCCATATGGAAAAAGATAAAATTGGATCCATTTCTCACATTGTACACCAGGATAAATTCCAAAGGCTCAGAGATCTAAATGTGAAATGAATGAAGCTATACATATTCGAAGAGAAGGGTATTTTCCTCCAATAACTAGGATGAAGAAAAGTGTCTCAACTATTTAACCAAGTCCAGAAACATCAAGTAAAAATCTAGCTAAATTTTATGGTATTAAGAAAAAACTTTTTCAAGTTAAAAACATACTCTAAGCAATGTAAAAATAATGACAAATGGGAAAAAATTTGTAACTTTTATCACAAAGGGTTAACATGTCAAATATATAAAGAGCGTCTAAAAATAGAGAAGACAAAGCCTGTAACTTGGTGGGTAAATGGACTAGGGAAATGAACAGACTGTTCCCTATAAAAAGAAAGACAAATGACTCTTAACCATATGAAAATAGAGTGCAGCCTTGCTCCTAATAAGAGAAGTTCAAGTTATAATATCCTGAGATACCGTTTCTCACATATCAGGTGGGCAACAATCCAGACGTTGCACACACTCCTCCAGAAGTGGTTAGGACCAAGACCACTGGGAATAGAGGCCCAGAGGATGGGTCTGGCTGGGGCACTTGGGGTCCTTCTGGACAGTAATGGGGCTCCTGCTGCTGAGGCTGCTTCTTCCTCTGGTTTCTTCTGGGGTGAAGTCACTGGCTGTTCAGGGTGAAGACTGGGGCAGACTGGGCTGGGGAGTGAAAGAGCACAGGTATAGGAAACAGGGCACAGATACACGATGCCCTATAGTTAGAAATATAAATACTGGCTGTGCTTATATTAAAATAACATATTAAAATAGACCTAATTCAACAAGTATTGATGGAGTGCCTTTTCTGGGCCAAGCACTGTTCTAGACACCGGGGATTCATCAGTGAACAAAACAGTCAAAAATCCTCATCCTTCAGATGCTTACCTTCTAGGCTTCTCTACCACTTTTTAGTCATCATTTTGCAACCGAGGCTTGGATACATGCTAGAACTCAACCCTAATCACCCACAATACTTACTGGAGAATTGCAGTCACCTCTTTGACAACATGATTTCGTAACTGTGACAAAATACCATATTTGAGTTAAAATGCTCCAGGACTTAAAGATGGCCCAGTAGCAAATGGCTGACTTTTTGGTTCCTCCCTTGTAAGTCAATCATCACTAATCGTTTGCCACGTTCATTTTGTAAACTTGTCTGTTTTCATTTACACAGGTGCAAAAAATAACATTCTCATAGGCATGAGGTTGTGTGCATTTTTTTTTTGTTTGCTTGTTTTTTGTGTTTTTTTTTAAACATTGCCTGCGTTTGAAAAGGGTCAAGCTGATTATTTTACAGCCTGTTTACATGAACTCCCATACTGGGATGTAGCACGCCAAGTCTCACTCAAGTTCAGATGCCCACAAAGCCTCCTGGAAACTCAGAGTGGTGTTTATAACAGGAAACGGTGACCCCAAGTCCACAGAGCCGCACTATAAACGTCCTCAGAGCTGTCCTCTGGGTCCTTATTAGGGGCCTTTTTGTAAATGAGATTGCCTTATAACTGTCTTCTTTACTTCCAGAAATAACCCCTTTCTGGATGAGGCTCAAGACATGTCCTGAGTAAGAACCTGTGCTGGATTCTGTGCTGTAGCACATGGTGTGGTTGCAGTGTATGCAGATCTGGTAGAAATTGCAGGCCGTATTGCCTGTTCTTATTTTGATGCTTAGTACAATGCTTTGCACATAACAAGTTGAGTCAAAGAACATATAAATACAGTCAATTCTTATTGTTCAGGCAGTTATCTTCTATACAGTCACAACAAACACCGAATTCATGAATCCCGAACCATTGCTCCTAGAGGAGGTAGAGGGTTAGGTTCCTGTGAGTCTCTGCTCACAACATTTTGGTCAGCTGATCAATATGTAACGATGTTTTCTGTGTGTTTCTGCTTAAAGACACCTTATTTAATATGTATTGTTGATTCATGACATTGAACTTGTGGCCAATAGCATCATAACTCATGCCTGAACAAAGCTTATCTAACATGTATACTTTCTACATAAGGCACATCACAGCCTTCTTGCTCTTAGGAACACTAGACAGCACTTCAGCTCTATACTTGGGGACCATTTTAAACACCAAAATCATCAACAAAAAGCACAAAAATGAAAAACGTGGCACTAAACAGGCTGTGAGAAGGTCACTCACTAAAACAAGAAGGCCGAGGGTCACCTTGTTCTATCTCAGCTGCAAACGTACATCTCAGAAGACTCAAATTTTTCACCGCTCTGTGTTTGTCCATGAGTGACTATGCAAGCACCGTGACTATTGATTTTGAGGTTAAAAATAAATATTAGCAGGTAGGCGAATTTGCAAATTTGGAATCCATGAATAATGAGGATAGGTTGTATGTAAATGTATGTGACTTTTAACTTACAGCACTTAAGGGCAAGCAAAGAAGAGCAAGTATAAAGTTTCCAGCCATTATAAAATTAAATCTGCTCTGAGCACCCACATATCTGACTAGTGGGAAATTCCATTTGCTTAGTAAAAAAAAACATGTTGATCTGCGTGTGTACTGTGAGGAAAGTCAAGGGAAGTCCCTTTCTTAGCATCTGGTGGTCCCCTTATTGCTTTTGTCCTTTAGTCACTTGTTACTGGTGCCAAGCGCTGGTATTCTAGCATCACTCAAGCCTCTACTCCAGGAGGGTGCAGAGGGGACCTTCTCAGCAGTCAACAAAATTGACTATGGTTATATAAACCCACTGGGAGGGTCACTGATGCCTTCCAGGCCAGCCTGGTAGCAGGTGTGCAGTCTCTCTCTCAGCATCCCACAGTAATTCCTCACTGGAGCATATCCTCCAGGGGACCCAATGCTGGAAAATCCAGTGGTCCTTGGTCCCTCCATCTCAGGCATCCCCTGCATTTCCTATGGACCCAGTTGTTCCTACCTCTTTATCTCAAAATTCTATCTTCCTTTAACCAACTTTATGCTACTCAGAGGCCTAAAGAGGGTGGAATGAGGGGGATGAAGTAGCGA